TTCCTTGTGAAGGCCCAGAAATAATCTATAAACTTTTGTTATGAGACTCTTGTATGAGATGATATTGTCAAAAGTTTGTTCCCAGTCTGTAGGCTTACTTTTCAACCTGTTTGAAAAAGTTTTTGCAACGCAGGATTTAATTTTTAGCAGGTCCCATTCATCAATTTTGTCCTCTTCAGACTGTGCATTTCTGGCTGTATTTGGCAGTTTTTTTATATCGTAGACTAGGGCTTCTAAGTTTGACCCCAATTTGTATCTTATGAACTTTATGGTTTGGGCTTTATTCCCAGGTCTCTGATCCACCTTGAGTTGATTTTTGTGTATGGTGTAAGATGTGGATCTTTTTCAGCTTTCTGTAGGTACCAGTCCAATTTTGCCAGCATCATTTGTTGAAGAAGTTGTCATTTCCCCATTTGATAGGATTTATTTCCTTGTTGAATATCAGTTGATCACAGAAAATTGGGTCTATTTCTGGGTTCTCAATTCTGTTTCATTGGTCTATGTGCCTGTCATTGTACTAGTACCATGCTGTTTTGGTTACTCCCTCTGTGTAGTTGGTTTTGAGGTCAGGAAGTGCTATGCTCCCACTTCATTTTTGTTTCTCAGAAATGTTTTGCTTATTTGGGATCTCCTGCTCTTCCAAATAAACTTGAAAATTTCCCTTTCAAAATCCTTGAAAAATGAATTTGGTATCTGTATTGGGATTGCATTGAACATGTAGATTGTTTTTGGTAGGATTGTAATTTTCACAATATTGAGTCTTCCTATCCATGAACAGGGCACATTTTTCCATTTCTTTAGGTCTTATATTGTTTCTTACTGAAATGTTGTATAATTTTCTTCGTATAGGGCCTTTATATATCTAGTTAGGTTCACTCCCAAGTATCTTAATTTGTGGCTGGCTATTGTAAATGGTATTGCTTTCTTGATTTTCTTCTCTGAGTTCTCCTTGTTACTGTAGTGAAATCTCACTGATATATTGATCTTATATCCTGCCACTCTGCTAAATTGACCTACTAGCTCTAAAATTTTTTTTTGTTAAGTCTTCAGAGTTTTCTGTGCCCACTATCATAACATCTGCATATAGGGATATTTTAACCATCTCTTTGCTGATCTGGATGCCTTTTATTTCCTTCTCTTGTAATATTTCCATAGCAAGTGGTGACAGTGGGCATCCTTGTCTGATTCCTGTTCACAAGGAAAATGTTTTCAGTCTTTCTCCATTGAGAATGATCTTGGCTCTTGGTTTTGCGTATATACTTTTCAATATGTTGAGGAAATTCACTTCTATTCCAATTTTGCTGAGTGACTTAATCAGGAAGGGGTGTTGGATTTTGTCAAATGTCTTTTCTATATCAATTGCTAAGATCATATGGTTCTTATTATTTACTTTGTTAATATGGTGAATTACATTTTTTTTTCTCATGTAATTGAACCATCCTTGCATAACTTTTATGAATCTCACTTGGTCATAGTGAGGTTTTTGTTTCTTGGGTTTTTTTTTAAATGTGCTTTTGGAATCTATTGGCTAGGATTTTGTTAAGGATTTTTTTTAATCTATATTTATGATAGATACTGGTCTATATTTTTCTTTCTTGTTAATATCTTTGCATGTATTTAGTATTAGGGTTATACTTTCTTCACAGAATGACTCTGGGAGTGTTCCTTCCTTTTTAATTTTTAAGTAGAATTGGTGATAGATCCTCTCTGAATTCATCTGTGAAGCCATCTAGTCTAGGATTTTTTTTATGGGGAAGTCTTTTTATGACCTTTTCAATTTCTTCTCTTTTGATGGGCCTGTTCAAGTATTCTATGTCTGTCCTAGTCAATCTGGGTAGGGCTTGAGTTTCGAGGAATTTGTCCATTTCCTCTAGGTTTTTTAATTTATCAGAGTATAGCTTTTCATAGTGTTCCTTTATTAATGATTTAATTCCATCTGATTCTGTTGTGATGTCACCTCTATCATTTCTTAACTGATGTATCTATGTCTTCTCTTTTCTTTTTCCTCCTTTTGTTAACTTTGCCAGTAGTTTGTCAATTTTACTGACTCTGAAAAAAAACAGCTCCTGGTCTTATTCATGATTTCCATTTTTTTGGGTCTGTTTTCTATCTCATTGATTTCAGCTCTTGTCTAGATAATTTCTTCTCTTTAGAGCCTGTAGGATCAGACTGTTGATATTTTTCTGTTTGATGAAGGTGTTGCGTTAGGTCATTGATTTTTCTTTTTTCTTCCTTTCTTATGTGTGTGCCTTTTGCTATGAACCACCCCATGAGGACTGACTGCCTTAGCTGTATCCCAGAGGTTTTGGTATATATTTTCATTTTCATTTGTTTCAAGGATTTTTCTTATTTCATTTATAACCCAATAATGTTATAGCAGAGAGTTATTTAGTTTCCACATGAATGGTTTTGTAAGCATTACCATTCTTTGGTTAATTTCTGATTTTTATGGCATTGTGATCTGAGAAGATTCTTTGTATTATTTTAATGTTTGTGAATTTTTTGAGGCTTGCTTTTGTCCTAACATGTAATTGGTTCTGGAGAATGTACCATGTGCACTTTGAGAAGAAAGTGAATTGAGTTTTAGTTGAGTGCAGTACTCTGGATACAACCACAAGGTTGAGTTGGCTGATTGTATAGTTTAGATCTGCATTTTTTGCTGTGTTTCTTTTGGACTGACCTATCTTCTTTTGGTGATAGTAGTGTGTTGAAATCTTCTACCACTATTTTGGTGCTATTTCCTTCTTCAATTCTGTTAAACATTATTTTATGTATTTTGCAAGTCTATCATTTGGTGCATAAATGTAGACCAAGGTTATGCCTTCTTGATCTATTGCCTTTAATCAGTATATAATGCCCTTTCTTAGCTTATGGTAGTTTTCATTCTGAAATAGATTTTATTAGAGATTAGTATTGTCACTCCTGCTTTTTTGAGGTTGCCATTTGCTTGGTATATTTTTTTCTGGTCATTGATTTTGAGTATGTATTTTTCTTCTTTTTTTAGATGTGTCTCTTGTAGGCAGCATATTGATGGGCTTTGTTTTTTAATCCATTCTGCTATTTTTATTTCCAATTGGTGCATTTAGACCATTTACATTAAGTGTGATTATTGACCAGCCAGGTTTTTTTTTTCCTTTGTGATACTTT